AGATTATCAGCAGTGTGAAGGGTGTTCAAACTACATCTGCCTGGACACTGCTGGCTCACCTTCTGAAACTTCTCAAGCTTTTCTTCAATAATGCTGTCTGCTGTATGTAGAATTATTGTTCATCTACACCAGCCATCCAGACATCTCCTTATTCTCTTCATTGAATAGGATCCACGAATTGAGTCTGTCTACAATCTCCTCTTTGCTGATAATCACCTACAGAGAAAAATGCATTTGGCTGTTGAAGACAGCAAACAAAATGGTGCCCTTCCCTCCTAATAATGGAGTGTGAATTTCATTCATTTTAGTCAGCATCTTTGAGGACTTATATCTGTGTTTTTCCTCTCAGAAACCTAGGGTTCAACATCATCAGACATTCTCATACATTTGCTGAAGTAACAACTCTAAGTGACCAACAACACTTTTACCCATTGCAAATCTATTACCATCAGGTCACAACAAACCTTATAAACAAGAAAGGCTGAATATATTAAGCACCCCATAAATTCTTCTGCTTTATATCCTTTCAATATTTATTTTCGAATGATGATAACCTAATTTAATTCTGATGATATTTTTTCCTCTTAAAATTAATCAAATTCTTACATGATTAAGGCCAAATGTCCTGCTTATTTAATTTAAAAAAGTATAATTCACATCATGTAAAAACAAATGTTTATAAAACAACATATCAGGAAGATTCAAGCCATATATATGATGGAAGATTCATACATAGTAAAATAAAAGAAACCTTAAACCAATGCCCATCACTCATTTGATCCTGCACCTCTAGTGGAAGAGGGTGATTTTACCTATAAATCATGGAAATGTCATCTCAATCCAGTCTACTCTACACAGGCTAATCCCAAAATACCCAATGCTTCATTACTTACAAACAACTCTAGCAAGTAGACTTTATTTAGCATAAGATTCTCCTCCCTACAATGACAAATGGATTATGCTAATAAATTTGCAAGTAAATAGTTCAAAACAGCCTGGCTGAGAGTACAAAAGGATTTTCAGGTCTTAAAAATCTTGAAATACTTCCAGTTAAATAGGGGCCACAGAAGGTCCATTGCTAAGGTTTTAACATGAAGTTCATAAATATGAAAGCAAAGGGATTTTCTTCTTACACACAAAAACCTCACCAAGCATTGTCGAGTGAAGCAAAATTACCAACTGTAGCACCATCTACCCAGCCAAATGTGTTGAAAGGGTTTGAAAGTCTATCTCTAGAAACCCAAGTTCTGTTTCTACCTCTCTGACATGTATTTATTTCAACTTTTAAAACTTTAGTTTTTCATGGCTCAGAATTCCTAGTTAATCTCACAATGGCCCTACATACTGCTCTACATTAACTTTTGGAGAACTTTCCTAGAACACCAAACACATTCTTTTTGTATAAAATTTGAATAGAAAACTTAAATTGACTTTTAAAAATGAGACGAGTAAATGCTCATGCTGGTATAAAATATAGGTCAACACTTCAATTTAGAGGACAATGAAGTGAATATTTAGTTGAAATTTATTTACTAATTATATATATATATATGTATATATATATATATGCATATATATATATATGTATATATATATATATACATATAAAAGTTGATAAATACGTGACATCCGTGACATCTCCTTTTAAAAAACTAAAAAATGTATTGTTTCTGAAGTAGTATTCACATACAATTTCTCTTCAACTGGCATTATTTTGTGGCTAATTTTCTAATTAAAGAGTGTAAGAAATGTTTTTTAAAATATAATTAGTGCAGATTTCTAAGCAAAAGTTTCATCTGGCTATGGATACATAATTTGTTGGTTTGTCTATTTATCTTTGTGGTGGCTATCAAACTAAGAATTTTAGGAAAACTAGGCAAACTGTCACTAGCCATACCTAGGATTATTTTATGTTGTATTTATTTTAATTTTTGTGCTGATCTTGGGATTTGCATGCATTGCCTGAACAATGTCCCTAAAATTTTTCTGCTCAAGGTTATGACTTTAAAACTTGGGCCACAGTTCTACATCCAACCTTTTGGTTGTTAATTAGAGATAAGACTCATAGACATTCTGTCATTAGGCCCAACTTCACACCAAGGTTCTCAGTGTCCATAATATCAGGGACTATAACCATGAGCCACTGTTAGCTACATTATGTGTTTTTTAAAGCATCTGTCAATAATAATAGAAAACTATCACCATTACTAAAGGCTCAAACCTGTAAATCTAGCAATTTCAGAGGCTGAGATCTATAAGATCATGTTTTAAAACCAGACTTGTCAGACAATTCAGAGTTTATTTCTTTAACCTGCAGGACCCAGGGTTTAAATCAGGCCTAGGCACTGTATATGAGTTGCTTTTCATTAAGTCTAGTGCTCTACCTCTTGAGCCACAGTGACACTTCCAGCTTTTCCTAAGTAGATATTAGAGGGAAGTGGTAAGCAGACCTCACAGTTTGGCTCTTAACTGTCATCCAAAAACTAAGCCTTCAAAGTAGCAAATCAGAGATTCTTACCTTCAACTAAGCAGCAATAAAAATACTGAAGGTGTGATTCAAGTGGTATAGTGTCAGCCTTGCTTGGAAAATGTTAAGGAAATTCAAGCCTCAGTATTGGCACATATGTACACAGAAGCATGCACATACATACATATAAAGGGTCCTATACTCAATTCCCTGGGATTAAAAAATTAAAATATTAAATTAGGACAAAAATAAGAAATTCAAATTGCTAAAAAAAAAAAAAAACTACCATAGCCAGGTGGTGGTGGCTCACACATAAAATCCTAACTACTCAGGAGGCTGAGATCAGAGGATCACGATTCAAAGCTAGCCCAGGAAGGAAAAGTCCATGAGACTCTTATCTCCAAGGAACCACACATAAAACTGGAAGTGGCACTGTAGCTAAAGTGTTAGAGCATTAGCCTTGAGCTGAAGAGCTTAGGGATAACACCCAGGCCCAGAAGTCAATCCCCACGACCAAGAAAAACAAACAAACAAACAAAAAACTGCCTTAACTGAATTGTGACTTAGGTGGTAGATTTCTTTCTTCCCATAAATGAGGCATGAGTTCAATCCTGAGTTGTTCATACCAAAGCAATCCAATAAAAGCACACTAAGAACTATCTAACAAAAAATATGTCATTCGTTGTAAAGAAAATTAAATCTTATGAAAATAATTGAAAGAGAGCTAAAAGGAGAACCATGGCTCGATAGTGAACAGCAACTTAAGCCATATTACCATTTCCAGTTTTTAGCTATTTATTGGCAAAATGAATATCACAGACATTGCTGCGTGGGATCCCTTTGAATCTGTATCCTCAGATTTCAGCCTCCTATGTGTAAGGCACCAGCAATCTGAGATATGCATTTATGTTGTCATGTTATGTGGCAAATTACCACAAATTTATTTGTTTGGCCACTGAATACCAACTATTGTAGGATATAAGATTGGGCTGGTAACTTGGGTGTGGTTTGTCTATAGTAGCTGCTCAGTTTCTAGCAGGGGCCACTAGCCTATAGTCTCTCACAGAATGTGGGGATCTCTTACAAGCTTACGGGATGCCTAGTAGGGTTTAGGTTCTGTGGTGGTGAGACTGGTTTCTGCTTTCTGGTCTCCTATCATACAGCCACTGTTGTCAGCTCCTAGGCACCCCCATACTTTCTTGACTAACATATTCTCCTTACTGTTTGATTCATTCTGTTGGCGTCATTGACTTCTAGAAAGGCCTTAATTTGCACTCACACCTTGGAAATAACTCATACCAACTCTTGTGGGAACTAATTACATTTGTAGAATCTGTTTAATTTTGTTATCTACCGGAGCATATAGTGGGGTTAGATCTTGCCAGACTGGAAGATAAAAGACTTCCCAAGGGTCTGAGTTGTTGTGTATCACCTGATACACATAAAAAGCTATTTATTGGGGCTGGGAAGGTGGCTCAGTGGTAGAGCGCTTGTCTTGCATGCATGAGGCCCTGGGTTCGATTCCTCAGCACCACATAAGCAGAAAAAAAAGCCAGAAGTGGCATTGTGGCTCAAGTGGTACAGTGCTAGCCTTGAGCTGAAGAGATGAGGGACAGCGCCCAGGCCCAGAGTTCAGGCCCATGACCGGACCCCCCCCCCAAAAAAAGCTATTTATTATCTGGGCACTGGTGGCTCATTCCTGTAATCCTAGCTATCTGGAGGATGAGATCTGAGGCTCCCACTTCAAAGGCAGCCTGGGAATGAAAGGTTTATCTCCAATAAACCTCTCAGAAAGCTGGAAGTGGTTCTGTAGCTCAACTGGTAGAGCACTCACTTTGAGCTGAAGAGCTGAAGGATTGCACAGAGACCAGAGTTGAATCCCCAGAGTTGAAAAAAAAAAAAAAGAAAAACATTGGAAAAAGCTATTTATTATTCTAAGTGTCCTCAATTTCAGACACTGGTAATGTTGAGTTATTGTTTGACATTAACCAATGAAGTGTGAAATTTAAGAAAATGAAAGATAATTCCTTGGGTGGAGTGGAAAATATTTTGGCAGTTATAGGAAATGAAACACAGTTAAGAGTTAAATTGAGGATAGATTCAAGAGCAATGGCCGTGGCTTCAGAGATGGGACAGAGCTAAACATGTTAGACATATGTTAAAAAGAGAACAAGGTGCTTGGAATGTGGTTTAGTGGTAGAGTGCTTGCCTAGCATGCATGTAGCCCTGGGTTCAATTACTCAGTACCACATGAACAGAAAAAGCCAGAAGTTGCCCTGTGGCTCAGGTCAAAGGGTGCAAGACTTGTCCAAAAAAGAAGCTCTGTGACAGTGCCCAGGCTCTGAGTTCATGCTCCAGGACTGCCAAAAAATAAAAAGAGAGAACATGTCAATAATGAATGAGGGAGGGATCCAGAAACCAAATTCCTCACTGAATATTTTCTCTATTTCAATATCATTCCAGAGAGAAAAATAAGGCATAAAGATGGTCCAGAAAGAACATATCTTATGAAGTAATACAAGATTTCTTTTAAAAAAATATGGAACGCTTCACATATTTACATGTCATCCTTGTGCAGGGACCATGCTAATCTCTGTATCGTTTCCATTTTAGTATATGTGCTGCCAAAGCGAGCACTACAAAAAAATTTTTTTTACTGCAACTGGCCTGTAGAGACAATCCATTAGACATAATTGTGACTTGCAATACCACAAGAGCTCATTGTAATAGCACAAGTGCTATCTGGATATTATGTATGGGTCCTGAGCCTTGATAAGAGCCTAGGTGCTATTCCTATTTTTTTCCTCAAGAATATTACTCTATTACTTAAACCACAGCTTTATATCTGACTTTTCTGGTGATGAAATGGAGATAAGAGTGTCATGGACTTTTCCTGGCTCACCTGGCATAACATTGGGATAACATTGGTATAACACCTGGGATAACATTAATAATGTTATCCCAAAATCTCAGCATTCTGAAGAGCTAGAATTACAGTTATGAGCCATTAGTACACAGAGAAGTATTTCTTTTTCAGTGGAATGAATTAAGAATACAGATTCTTAAGGAAGATTCACCCTCAGTACTAAGTAAATCATTAAGAACAGTTCACGTGGATACACACACACACACACACACTCACACACACACAAACACACACATACACACAAGCACACAAGCAGACACACAAACCCACATAAACATCTCAGGGATCTGTATCTCTTTCCCCTAAAGATTAGTATGGTCTAATGGGCAAACTGTGGTGTCACAGTCATGTAATCCCAGATATAGAGAGGTAGAGGTATAGGAGCATGGGGTACTGAGGGTGACTTGGGTGAAGTTAGCACAAGATCCTATATGAAAAGCAAACTGAAAAAGAAAGAAAAAGAGTTGGGTGCATGTAGGCACAAGTGGCAACTTATGTGCCTAGTAAGTTTAAGGCCCTCAGTTTAATCCTCAGTTCCATGAAAAAGACAAAAAGAATAAAATCTCTGTCCATTTTGTCATTGTTTAAAATCAATTAAGCTGTATACTTCATGAGGAATATAAGGTCTATTTCAAGCCTAATAGTAGTAGCTGGAAAGTCTATATAGCATGGTAGCACATGGGACAAGGCTCCGTAGGTGCATCATATCACAGAGGATCTCAGCATCATGGCATGTGCTAGAATGACAGGGAGTAAGGGGCATAGGTTGCTTTTAACAACTGATAACAGTGATTACGTTAGTCCCTTGATAGTTGATGAGATGACATTTATCCATTTATGACTGAAACATCTATTAAAGGTTCTACCTCCTGACACTGCTACATTGAATAGTTAAACTTCAGTATGAGCTTTGATGGTGACAGACCATTAAGAGGCTTCTGACAGAGGCAGGTGAGACCATTGGAAGCCAAGGACGTTAATACAACTAGGCACCTTGGACAGCTGCTTCGATCTCATTGATTCTGATATTTACTGTATTTGGGGCCATCTCACAGCCAAGATCCATCAAGTCCATGTCTGTTCCATGTGCCAGTTTCAGTTATGCTGAGTGTTATATAAACCACTAGACAATAGGGAGAAATAGGATGGAGATAGGCACAAAAAAGTAAGTTTGGCATTCTTCTTGGCCCTTAAATAACATTAAAAGATTTATGTAGGTAAGTCATGAGAAAGCTCTATGTCATTATAAAATACATACAAGCATATAATAACTACTCTATCACCCTGAAAGAAAGCTTGTAGAACAGCCTGTTTACACATAATACAGACACTCCTATGAACACAAAAGATGGAAAAAACAAACAAGTTCCGGTTTACAAAAGTAATTGTCAACCTTAGAGTCAAAGCAGACACCCTGAAAACAGTACTGGAAAGAATAGGAGAAACACTAGGTCTCCTTGGCACAGGTCAAAATTCCCTTCATAGAGACCCAGAAACACAACAAATCAAAGAAAGGTTGCACAAATGGGATTTCATGAAACTGCAGAGCTTGTGCATGGCAAAGGACATAACTAGAAAAATCCATAGAAAGCCCACCGATTAGGAGAAGATTAGCCTTACAAAAGACAAGGATCTCATATCTAAAATGTGCTTGGAACTCACAAAAATAAATCCTCCAACAAATCCTCAAAGAAACAACTGCACAATAAATAAGTGGGGTAAAGACTTAAAGAGAAACTTTTCTGAAGAGGAAAGAAGATGGCCAATAGACACATGAAGAAATGTTCAACATTTCTAGCCATAAAAGAAAAGCAAATCACCAAAATTACTTAAGCTGATTTAAAATTTGGCAAAGGAGCAGAGTATAAAAATAACCCTCAAAAATCAATGGCTTTTCTGTATGCCAACAATGAGAAAAGCGTGGTTGAAATAAAGAAAGCAACTCCATTCATAACAGCCCCCCCCCAAAAAATAACTAGGAATTAATTTAACCAAAGAAGGGAAGGACCTCTATAATGAAAACTTTAAAAACCTGAAAAGGGAAATCAAAACAGAACTTACAAAGTGGTAAAACCTCCCATGCTCCTGGATTGGAAAGATCAACATCGTGAAAATGGCAATACTTTCCAAGGGTTTCTACCAATTTAATGCAATACCTATCAATATTCCAACCCCTTTCTTCAACGAATTAAAAGAGGCTATCCAAAAATTCATATAGAACAATAAAAAAAAAACCCAGAATAGAAAAAATATCCTTAACATAAAGAACAGTGATGAAGGAATATCAATACCAAATTTCAAACTCTACTACAAAGCCATCGTAATTAAAACAGCTTGGTACTCACACAAGAACGGACATCAGGAACAATGGAATAGAATTGAAAAGGCAGAAATGAACCTAGAGACATATAGCTACCTAATCTTCGATAAGGGAGCTAAAAAATAGAATGGAAGAAAGCCTCTTAAGTAAATTGTGCTGGCAAAATTGGTTAATCACTTGTAAAAAACTAAAGCTAGATCCTTATATATCAATCTGCACCAGAATCAACTCCAAATGGATCAAAGTCGTCTGAGTCAAAGCAGACACTCTGATGGAATAGGATGGAATAGGAGAAACCCTAGGTCTCCTTGGCACAGGCCGAATTTTTTTTTAATGGAGACCCAGAAACACAACAAATCAAAGAAAGGTTGGACAAATGGGATTGCATGAAATTGCAGAGCTTCTACATGGCAAAGGACATAGTTAACAAGATCAATAGAAAGCCTATGGATAGGGAAAAGATCTTCACTAGCCATTAAACAGACAAGGGTCTCATATCTAAAATATACCTGTAACTCAAAATATTAAATCTCCCAACAACAAATCCTTAAAGAAACCACTTCTCCATAAATAAGTGGGCTAAAGACTCAAAAAGAAACTTCTCTGAAGAGAAAAGAAGGATGGCCAATAGATACATGAAGAAATGCTCAACCTCCCTAGAAATAAAAGAAATGAAAATAAAACGAACAGAAATAACATCTCACCACAGTTAGAATGGCTATAATCAAGAACTCTAATAACAACAGATGCTGAAGGGGATGTGGATCGAAGAAAACCTTACTGTATTGTTGTGGGAGTGTAAACGTGTTCAATCACTTTGGAAAGTTTATGGAGGTTCTTCAAAAGACTCCACATAGATCTCCCCTATGACCCAGAACTACCACTTTTGGGCATTTACCCAAATGTTCACAAACAAGATCATACTAATGCTACCAGCACGACTATGTTTATTGCAGCATTATTTACCATAACTAAGATATGAAACCAACCCAGATACCCCTCAGTTGATGAATGGATCAAGAAAATGTGGTATATATACACATTTCCATGCCTCCATAGAATTTCGTTGTCCCATTTGTTAGGAAATGGAAAGACTTGGAACAAATTATGTTAAGTGAAATAAGCCATGCCCAAAGAAACATAGATCCCATGGTTTCCCTTATTTGCAATAACTAGTATATGTCTGAGAAAAACAGAAATTTTTAGACAAGTTGATGTTAGGTGAAATGAACCCCAAGATAATTTTTTTCTTTCTTGTGATTGTTTCAAACATATTTATAAATTGATTTCTTTGTTGCTTTGTATGTACCTTCCCCATGGTATAACTCCTGTTTTCACTGCATTTGATTCTGGTACCCTGCATCTTGTATGTACATTTTTCTAATTTGGAGAGGGTAAGGGAAAACACAAAATGCTTAAATAGGGATACAGGTTGACCCATTGTAAAAATGCAATGTACAAGACCCTACGTTGAAAACAAACATTAGAACTTCGGAGGTGGGGAGAACACTCGTGGAGGTGGGAGAGAAGGAATGGTAGGGGAAAACAAAGGAGGAGGCAACAATGCTTGATAGGAAATATACTTGATAGGAAATTACCTTACTCATTTAATTGTAACCCCTCTGCATAGTATTTTTTTATAATAAAAGACATACAAAAATTAATTCAATGTATGATTATGGGCCAGTACTAGGATTTGAATTTATGGGCCTTCCACTTACTTTCACACTTCAAACTGGGATCTCTATCTGTCTTTATTTATTTATTTTTTTAAATCAGGAATGCTTCACAAATATGCAAGTCATCCTTGCACAAGGGCCATGCTAATCTCTGTATCGTTCCAATTTTTGTATATGTGCTGGCAAAGTGAGCAATCTTTAATTTTTTGTTAATCTTTTTTTCAAGGATAAATCTAATAACACTGTCCCCTAATTTTGTATAAAATAAATTTTGGACATATATTTAATATGTAGTATATTTGTGAGATATATACGTATATACATACTATTTATCTTCAGGAGTTGGGCACACAAATAATTGAAGGCACTGATTTATTTTCACTGCTGTCGTTCTATTTTAAGACTTTTTTAAATCAAAACATAGATGACCATGGTTTCATCGAATGTCCTGTCCAATATTGATTTGTGTGTTTCAGGCAGTCTGTACCTCATGTCACACAAGAGTGCAAGAATAATAGGGTTTGCTCATTACATAGTGGCTCATCAGGACATAGGAAATATCAATCAATTTGTTTGAGCTGATCTCCATTGTTTGTTCTATACTATGCCTCTGCTTTGGCTCTGCAGTTTACCATTTCAAGATGATATTTTGTTCTTTTGGAGAAGATGAATGGAGAAATGTACGTGGCCTCCAAGATAATTACCTGTATCTGGTTAAAATTCATACTTTCAAATGGGATATTTGCCATCCCTGTAGAATACAAATGAGGACTCCCAAGCACCAGCTATCTACTTTGCAGCCATTGTAATTTTCATGGAAGCAATATTTTATAGGGACAAAATAAAGGTACCAAATATGTCCTTCAGCAACTACCCTTGGAAAATCCTTAGGCTCATGCCAAAGTCATTGAACTTCACATTGCCTTTGTCATCCAACACGATGTTATTGGGTTTAATGTTTCAGTCATTTCATTAAAGTAATGCACAGTCCTCACAATCTGTTTGAATAAACTCCTGACTTCATTCTTGAATAGGCGTATGATTTTCACATTTGTCTAAGGAGGTCTCTGGATGGCCAGTTCCACTACCAAGTATTTGTGTTCATCCATTTCCCTCACCTGGTATGACCTGATCATGTGTGGGTGATGGAAAATCTTAATAATGTCCATCTCATTTAAAATTTTTTGTGGGTCCTGGGGCTTGAACTCTGGGCCTGGGCACTGTCACTGAACTCTTCAGCTTATGTCTACTGCTCTACCACTTGAGCCACAGCACCACTTCCAACTCTTTCTGTTTATGTGGTGCTGAGGAATCGAACCCAGGGCCTCATTTATGTAAGGCAAACATCTACCACTGAGCCACCTTCCTGGCCTGTCCATCTCATTTTTGATTTAACAATTGTTGAACTCTCATCTTCAGGATTATTTTCACTCCAAGCTTTTTGACTACGAGGTGGTGCTAGGCCAACTTTACATATCCATAGCTTCCATAGTCAATGATTTCCTCCTTCATGCTATATTGTTCAGGGAAAATCTCCTCCTGCCATACCTAATGATCACCTTCAAACTGTCTTGTTGAGTGAAAATCTCCTTCTCTGAAGAGCTTGAGGATAATTCACTATGTTCTTCCATCTTTCTGCTAAGATGGCAAGGAGTAAATCTACCTAAACTTAGCTAAGAAAATAAAAACCCCAGAGCAATAACATAAAGGAAACTGTCAATGTAGCACTCAGTCCAGCAGGTCACCAGGAACTCTCAGCAATGTAATGGACTGCAGAGACCACTCACAATGGTTGCAATGGACCAATCACAGCTTGGAATGAACTCACTGGATCTTCTGGTCTTGAGCCTGGAGGACTGTTGCCAAGGTTTCCACAGGGATGTGAGGTGCACAGAGTGATGCCACTGGTGCAGCCATGGCAGTGTTGCAGGAACTTCAAGTGTATCAGAAAGTGCATTCTGTCCTTGTTGGCTTCAAGGTCCTAGGGTTGGTCCCAAAGATTTTGTCCTTGAGTAGTATCCATGTCCTTATGTCTGCTCCTGCCAGAACAGTGGCCATGTGCAGGAGCATACATCAACCAGTGGCTTCCATTCACTATATGTGCAAGTCTTGGAACTTGCTCCAACAATCTAAAAACAAAGTGGAATCCTATGTATTCCTAGATGCAGGGGACACATAACGAAGAGTTCAATTGGAAACTTTCACTAAAGTAGATCCAGATTTTTTTATCTTGACAATAAAGAGAAAATTCAAAGAAGTTAAAGTATAAGAGGTGTCCCTCTTTGTTGAATTAGAACCTTCTTGCACAACTGCTTAAAATAATATTAAATTCCTTATTTGTTATGGACTTGATTTAGTGTTTTGGTACCATATAATAAATAATTTCTGATCTTTAAAATGTTGTAATATCAGTATGCACTTTGGTGTGTTTTTAATGGAATCCAAGATGAGCCCCATAGCTCTTGAGTAGATCTAAAACAATATCACATTCAACAATAGCATTTGGTTGAAAGAAGGCAGGTAGTACCAGCCTACTGTAAAGTGACTATTGCCAGGATGAATCTTCTTTAGAAATACTGTTTTTATTTCCTTTTCAGTATTTACTAATAAAATACATCCATGTATTAATGGCAAGAAATTACTACTTTAATATAAATTATGTTCTCTATTCAGCTCAGTGAATTTTGACAACTATTTAATTATGTAATAATAAGAGTCCCCTTATAAAGTCAAAAAATGGGCACTTTTGTCATTTACATTAAAATGCAAAGAAAATAAGTCCCAGTAAGTTTTATACTTAGGTGGATAATGGAAAACAGCTGTTTTCTCACTCAGAAATTAAATCCAATAGGGTACTTCATGGCATCCATAATCTGAAAAGCTGCTCTAACTTTTGGCTTTTAAAGACCTCATCAGTTAACACAAGATATTCAGTGTCTTTAAATGTAGAATGACTGATGTCAAAAGGATAGTGGTATCGCTTCAGAATCATCTGATACTGTAGCAAAATGCCCTATGCCATACATCTCCATGAAGTGGGTTATTAACATCTATAGGAGTGAGAAAAAATAGAGCATCATCATTTCTCATGATAGTTTCCTGTGAGATAGTTTACATCAGAATCCTTGAAATCCATAAGGCAATGTGTTGATAAATTCAAAGTGAAGAACAAGGGCTGGAGTAGGGAACTTAGGTGGTAGAACCCCTACCTAGACAATTGGAGGTCCTCCGCTTAAACTTTCCTACTGCCAAATCCATGAGTCTTCCTTTAGAGAAAGAGGTATAGCTGTTTACTTCAATTCCATTGTGATGCTATAACAAAACTCCTTAAGACAAGGTCCCAATAGCTTAGAGAAACTTATGTGTACTCAACAGAAATTCTGAAGGACATGATCTAGAACCAAGAAAATTCAATGTACTGAGAGGTCAGCTTAACCAGGCCTTTAATGTGTTCCCTTGTTGCTGCATTCTCACATGGTTGAAAGGCTAGAAACTTATTTAAAAGAAAATAACAGAGATGAGAGACTTCTTCCCACCATCCAGATGAAGTTTAATTTGTTTCAGATTATTATTTCTTCTGTCATGTGCCTCCTCCTCGTTTTTTGTTGTGATTTTTTTTTTTAGCGGACTAGCCTTGAACACTTGAAGCACGAAAGAACGGATGTTTGGATTCCAAGTATGTACCCCCAAAATCATCTGTTGCTACTTCTTCTTTGGAAGTAAACCACTTACTTGCCCCAACCCCTGTGCTTTATTTTCCTTCCTGTATCATTTTTTAAAGTTTTTGGTCTATTTTGTATTTTGCAGGTGATTTAACAAGGACCCTTCACAGATAGTAGGTGAATACTCGACCACTAAGTTTCAAATTCCCTGCATAGATTTATTTTGTTTTATTATTTTTTGAACAAAATTTTTATTATAAAAAAACTCTATGGAGGGGTTCCAGTTACATGAGCAAGGTAATGAGTACATTTCTTATCAAGCATTGTTGCCTCCTCCTTTGCTTTTCCTCTACAATTCCTTTCCTCCCATCTCCACAACTACACTCTAACCACCTAAATTTTAAGTTTGTTTGAGATGTACAAGATTTTTTTATTGCTTCATTATTAGACTTCGTGTGTAACCAACTTACTGAAAGCATGTAAAAGTGTAAAACTGTAAACATGTTTGAATTTTTATGTAGACTACCATGCCATCTTGCTCACAAATCACAATATTTTCCTTCCATTGAAATCTTATGCAATCTTCTGTGATCTTGTTGTTGTTGTTGTTGTTGTTGTTGTTGTTGTTGTTGTTGTTGTTGTTGTTGTTCTTCTTCTTCTTCTTCTTCTTCTTCTTCTTCTTCTTCTTCTCCTTCTCCTTCTCCTTCTCCTTCTCCTTCTCCTTATCCTCCTCCTCATTCTCCTCCTTCTTCTTCTTCTCAGTTAAAACATCAAATGTGTTGTCAAATGCCATCATTGATAAATTTCTTGATTGCATCAGAAATGCCTCAGCAATTTTTAAAGAATATTGTAAGTGCATGATAGATATTCTACTTAAACTAAAGCTATTTTCCTTTTTTCAGAATTTTCACTAATATTAAAAATATTAAATGCTTCTGTGTCAGCATCTATTGGGGTTATATGGGCTTTGTTCTTTACTTAGTTTAATAAATTGCATTAGATTTTCTAAATTGTAGCTATGTATGTAGGCTTGCACTTTGGTGGTAGAATAACTTGATTTCCATGTGTGAATCCTGTGTTAAATCTTCAGAAAAAAAACACACACAGGAAAAATGGAAAAAGAATAAATGTAATCTATCCATTTCTGACACATATTCTCTTTTGTTTAGGAATTTTTGCCTTTCTCTTCATAAGTAAAATTACTATACATACATTCTGATTTTGTCATTGCACTGATGAAGTTAGTTAGGAAGTGTTTCTTCTTTTTAAAAAATTTCTGGAGCAGTCAAATAAGAGATGCATTAGGTGAGGTGATATATATTGATTATTCCAGCTAATCATGGCCTATCCCCACAAAAAAAAAAAGAAAGAAGAAAGAAAGAAAGAAAGAAAGACTCCCAACCATCCAAACTAAAAAACACCATGTAAGTAAAAAGGCTTGGGGCATTACTTAAGTAGTAAAGGACTTGTATACAATGGGCAATTTTCCAGGTTTGACACCTAACAATAGGGGGGAAAATGCATTTTCTTGGA